GAGCGTCTGAGCGAAAACGCCTGAGCCATGAGGTCGATCGTCGTAAAGGAGACTAGAGGCGAAGCCAGCCATTGTGGTGGCAAACGTCAGGCTCTCGACTGGTCTATCAGAGTCTTGCCAGGACAAGCAATTGACCAGAACCTTCGCAAAAGCAAGTGAGGCAGTGTGAGCCTGCTTGCGATGATTGCTGTCGCTGGAGCGGCGCTCAGTAAGCAAACGACTGGTCTCCAAGAAGAAAGAGACGATGGACGAGGGCAACGATGAGGAGAGGTGTCGCAACGCTACCACGTTCGAGTGGTACGGGTCGCAATCCGAGGATGACTTCTTCGGCAAGACTGAAGTCGGCAGCCGTGCAGTTGTCGATGATTGATCGCTGTTGCCAATGACCATCGCATTATCGTTCGCCGTGTCCTCTGCCCTGGGTGATGGAGTCGGGTCAGAGGGAGCTTTGGATTGACTGCTAGACGAGGCTGTTGCGATGTCCGCTGAGGTCACACTAGCCGTAGCTGCCTTCAACTGCACATTCTCCCACGCTGCTACGCGCTGCAGATCGCCAAGCTGCTCGATGGAGACCGGCTTAGTGGCTAGCAGAGAAGAGGCGCTGTTGAGCGTGGTGAAAAGTGTGGTTGGAAGCTTTGATCCGCTATAGCCAAACGTTGGCGCAATGTCGGCGAGAAGGTGCGTGGCAGCGTTCAGGTTGACTAAAAGACGGAACTTGAGATTTGCCGCTTTGGCGCTTTCTTCGTCAGAAGGCTTCGCTAGTTCCAGGAGAGCTGACGATGTGCGCGCGTCCCTGGAGGTTGCTTGAAGCAGGCCCGCCTCATGCGCTTCCAAGAGACAAGATTTGACGTGCTCTAACGCGGCATTCAGCACGGTGTGGGGACTAATCTCCACGATAAAACGTATCAGCGTGACAAGGCTGTCGTTGGCCACGCTGTTCACAAAGTCGTATGGCAAGCAAGGCAGCCGATAGAGAGCCAAGAGTCGACTAAGACCATCTTGCTTCAAGAAGTCTTTACAATGCCCAGTGGTCTGAAACAGACCATCCAAGAACCGTGCAGCGACTTCGATGTAGCCAATCACCTCATTCTCTCGTCCAGATCCGTCGCGCGTCAAAGCCGCGGTCTTGGG